CAGACTTGAGTAACCATGTACACAGAGTAGGGGAAAGGCCTTGGGAAAGATTATTTAGTCCTCAGCTGATCTCTGAGCTTTGGGTATTTGCTGTGTGTTGAATAACTTTCCCTGCAGGCTGTATTTCTTAGCAAACACTACTTTTCTAGGGATCTGCCTGTTTTCAGTTCATTCACTGTTGACTTTCCGATGTATTAATAGATAAAAATATTTTCTCCAAATATTAATTTCCTTCTCTTGCCTTGATCTTCAAAGAAGTTTAAGTAGATGAATTTAGGCAATTCTTTATACCATCATAGGATGCTCTTTTTGATAAAAGAGGAAGGAAAGTAGTTTCTCCAGTTTTACTCCGTGAATTAGAAATGCTGTAAAAATTTCTCATTAATAAAAATATTTAGCCATGCCTGAGCTCAGGCATATCTCAGCTTATTTGGGAAGTAAAGGCAAAAAGATCATAAGTTCAAGGCCTGTCTAGGCTACAGAACAAGTTCAAAGCAGACCAGGGAACTGAGTTGAGACCCATCTCAGTGTACAGTACAAAGGGTGAAAATAGCTTAATGGTGGGGTGCTGACTCTCCACCGCCTGCAAGCCTTTCTCATTGCAAAGCTCTCCAAATCAATACGCTGGATCCAAACTCCGTTTTTTCTTGCATGCTCTGAGATGCTGGCTGGCTGTCCAGGCGGGCTGGATGTAAAGATCAGAGGGCACAGTATGTATGATTCCTCCCAGTCTCATTAAACAGGCTCACAGGCTAGGGAGATCAAAGTGCACCAATGTCTATAATAGGTTATCCTGAAGTTAGACTGTCAAGATTGTTTTTTTTTTTTTTGTGCTAACTGAAATATAATCCTTGCCACAACTAAGAGATGTATTTATTTTGTTTTCTTTTAGTGTCTAAAAAGCACGGCAAGCTCATTACTTTCTTGCGAACATTCATGAAGTCTCGCCCAACAAAACAGAAGCTAAAGCAGCGGGGCATCTTGAAAGAGAGAGTATTTGGTTGTGACCTGGGGGAGCACCTCCTGAACTCTGGGTTTGAAGGTAAAAGCAAGCTCTTTGAGCTCATGGTATTGGATCCTCACACGTTTGTATTGGTTTTCTTTTACCAGTCACCGGACACACGTGGTAAATGGCATGTGCTGTGGTTTAGTTTAGCAGCCGACGCCCAGCTTCAAAGCCTCACCTCAGTTCTGGGTGGAGTCAAGTCTCAGGGTGTGCCTTGCCCGCAGTGCTGTGGTCATGTAGGAAGAGCTGACATGTGTGTAGGTCATGGTTACTCTTCCATGTTACATTGTCCAGGCAACTTCTTCAGCCAACTTTCCTGTTCATGTCCTAAAAACACTCACCTCCAGTTCTTCAGGGGGAGGGTGACAGGTGACACTGTAAAATACTGAAATCAACGGCCTAGATTTTATAACTAAACTTTACATTCCTTTCTCCTTAAAATTCAGAGTCCAGAATTTAGTGGTTGGATGAATGGTTGGAGGAAAGGAAAGGAGTTTGAAGTTTTGTTGACTGAAATTTTAGAAATGTGTTCGTTAGTATCTAGATTAATTCTGTTTCATTTGTGTGTAGAATACTTTTTAAGATTTGAGACTTTATATTGTTTACATAGTATACAGTATATATCTACAGTTATACCATGAATATATTTTTTATATACACACAGAGACTATTTTAAAGTCTAAAAAAATTAAATGTATATTTTCAATTCAAAAACAGCTAGAACAATCTCGAAGAAAAATTTAGATATTTTATATACAACTTGAAAGGAGATGAGGTATAAAATAAAAAGATTACTTATCTATGTATTATGTATAATTGTTTTTTCTTACATTTATTCTGTTTTCATTTAGATTAACTAAATTAATAGCAGTATGAACTGTGGTTGTATGCCATATAATGCTGTATTGGGCAGAGATGGATTGTATATATGATAGTAGTCCAGTAAGATAGTATTGCTGCTGAAAACTTCCTGTCACCTAGTGAGATTGTTGGCTTCAGAGGAGTTAGCACAGACTGCACTTCCCCGGTCCTGAGTTTAGTTTCTAGCATCACTGCCTCCCAAACTAAAGTCTAAGCTATCACTTCAGTATGTACTTTTGATAACATTGGTGAAAGTGTAAACTATAGCATTATAATGATATACCTACTACTTACTGGTTTTGAGACAGAGTCTTTCTATGAGCCCTGGCTGGCCTGCAGCTTCCTATCTAGTCCAGGATGGCCACAAAGATCCTCCTGCCTTTGTTCTGCATGCTAGGATTGTAGGTATAACCTAGCAGGCTTGACTATGAACATAATTCCTGATAACTAACTATAATGAATGATAGTATTACTGTTATATACTAACTGTACTATTTAAAATAAGCATATTTTCATTATAGAAAATGTCTCATGACGTTTCTACACTTTCATTGGTTATTGTACATTACTTCTATTTAAAAGTTACTGTAGAAGAGTATGCTGGGATGGCAGCCACTCACATGCATCTTGTATTTACTGTGTCTCTTGACTGATTTGATCTAGTCTTATTTTGTGTTTTTCATTATGGCCTCCCAGTGTACAAAAGCCACCATTACTGTTGTCAGGCAGAGACAGTATTGTTTGATCTGGAAACAGTATTAACATTGATCAAGGACTCTGCAGGTAGAAGGCATTCACGATGGTTGTTCCATCTGCCAGGCTCGGATTCTGTCAGCTCTGATGGTGAGAAGAGAATGAAGTGATGCGAGGCTTCTGCTTTACTAGAGATTCAGAACTGGTCCAAGTGCTGAGAACAAATGACTGTTGGATGCTCAGTTCTAAATACACATCTGCATAGCCTCCTCTCCTCCAAGGCTCAGGAGCCATCACTGGCTAGGAGGCGGAAAGCGTGTAAGAGCTGGAGGGTCAGAAAGAGAGCTGTGAAACAGTCCACGCTGGCTGTGCACCCGTGAATCCACAACAGCAGCGACTGTCTATGAAAGATCTCATTAGCATTCTATCATCAATGGGGAAGGGGCTTGTAAGGCCCGTCCCACCCTGGGGAGCCATAGGCAGTTCCTCAGAGAGGGAGTATCTTACTACTTAATGGTATGCATACTAGCATAGCTCTCATCAACGCTCCTGTAGACAACCCTAATTAAGTGCAGAGGGACACACACACACAGGAGTGAAATGGTTGTGAAGAAGGGATTTAGTAGAAGAAGGAAAGTGAGGAGAATGTGATCAAAGTAAAGTATAGGGAAAGGAGAGAGAGAAATTATGAAAGAATAAATAAACTCTAAATAGAGAGGTCAGCATTATTAGGGACGAGAGTAACAGACACTGACAGACAGGGGCTGGGGCGATGGCTAGGGTCCAATTGCTGACGTGTGCTCAGACTGGTACAGGTCTGTCATTGAAGCACTCGGCTATCAGAACATTGATTGGATATCACCAAAGCATGTTATAAATGACATCTAGGAGGTGAATAAGAGAAGTTCCTTCTACTTCAGAAGATGAACCAAGGGTGTGGAAGTTGTGAAAGTCAGCATGGCTGAGGTGGAGCTGGCAAACGCCTTAACCTGAGGTGTGGGTGAGGGCAGTGCTCAGTCACAGAGCATGTTCTTGATGAGTGGATAGATGTGGAGTAACTGGAACTCAGTCTGAAGTGCACGGTTAGAGGAGGAACGAGAGTAAGGAAGCTCTGGAGGAAAAGGAACCCCCAAATCCATGGTGAAGCTGTTATCACAGAAGCTTCCATAGACCTCAGCAAGCTCAGTTTGCCCCAGTGCCCAAAGGTGGTCTGTATGAGATCCTTACCGCTGACAGGGCTGTGGTGGAAGAGAAGTAAACAGAGCTGGCCACTGTGAGTACCTGGAGATGGGCAGCTCTCCAGGAGTGATCATGGCAGGGCCTCAGAGTAATGCCAGAAAGCATTGTCCACTTCCAGAGGGGAAGATGGGGAGTGGGAACTGTGTTACGGAAGATCCTGACCCAGAGTTAAACTGGGCTAACATGTTTATGTCTTTACTTTTGAAAAGAAAGTTTAAAATATAAAGTAATTAGAAAAACGGAAAAAAATTTTGAGAGTAAGGAAGAAAATTATAGTATATTGTAGTTTTAGCTGTGATTGCAAAAGAGTCAAAATGTAAACTTATAAAATAAAAATTTATAGTAGCTAAGATTAATTCACTAAGAAAATATTGTTATGAGTTTAGTGCAGCAACAATTCTCTAGACACAGAAGTGCCCAGCACTGTCCTGAGCCCAGGCACAGAGGTGCCCAGCACTGTCCTGAGCCCTGACACAGAGGTGCCCAGCACTGTCCTGAGCCCAGGCACAGAGGTGCCCA